TATTCCACAAACATATTTAATCTAATTATTCCCCATTGTCATCCATTGGTCTGGTTTAGTTTCCTGTTTTACACTAAGGCACCACAGGTCTAACCAAGCTGGCAGAGTGCTCCCATGGCATAGAATTGAATTATACTTTTTCTGAGAATGGTTTGAAATGAAAATACTAAACTGTTTTTTCTTTCATTTACCAGTGGGTCCTGATTCTAGCCCAACTGATAATTTCCCTACAATAAAGGTGTTCCATCTCTATCAGATTGATAGCGGCATTTGTTTGCCCAAATGAAAGCCTTTTTTACACTTTGGACATACAGCTTACATGCTCTTTGTTCCATTTTTTAGCATTCAACGTTCTTTTCCCCTTTAAACTTTTTTCTCTTATGGCCTAGCTTCCCACATTTATGGCATTTGATGTTAACTGGGGGATTTACCCTCTGATCTTCCAGCTGCCCAATTTGAGATGTCAATATAGCATTTACCTGCTTCTACTATAAGATTCATCTAATCTCTCAACTATTTCAACTGCTGTATCTCATTTGCCATGATTTTTCTCTACTGGTTTTTTTCTTTTGGCCTTTTACTTTTTTACAATCTTTCCCTTTCAATTCTTAGAAACTTTGGCTGCCTTAAAGAGACAGGAGCTCTTGAGATGTTTCTTTTTACTCTGGAGTCTTGTTTTACAGAACTTTACTTCCACTATTTCTTCACCAGCCTCAGTCTACCTCAATTCTTTTCTTTTTAAACAGAACTCTTAACTGCCAAAAAGGGAATTGGGGCGTCGGTCTCTCAAAAGCTACTTCCTGCTGGCATTGGGTGAAGGTATTAGGGGAAGGCAGTTAGAAGTTCTCTTTCCTAGCTTAATAAACTCTTGCAACCTATTCCCAAGCTTTTCTCTTTGCTGTTTTACTGAAGGCTTTTCTCACCCCTGAGGCTAAAGGCTTGTTTACTAAAGATTCTTATCTCCTAGCTCTATCCTTTCTCTTTCCCTCTTGCCTAAAGGCTTTTTTTCGGCTTTTTTTTCCTCCAGCCACTTCACAGAAGAGGCTAAAGGACTTTACCAGCTTTTTTCCCTACAGAAGTAGTAGTTAGAATTCGGAAAGAGAAAACACAGGAAAGAAGAGGAAAAAACCGGATGAGAAAGGCCTGCTGTTGGCTGTCTTTCTTAGATATTTCTTTTCCCTCTAAGCATTTCTATTTCTCTTTTTTTCTTATTTTGCTAAAGCTTATTTCCCTCTCGGTCCATGTTCACTGAATCCTGCTCAAAGCACCGTTTGTCAGCAGCATTCACTGTCCTCCTTCTGACACCACTTGTTAGGGCCCAGGACTGGCCAGGTCTCGGGTCCAGCTTAGGTAGGTTCTGGACACGGACCACTAAGCTACCTTGCTCAGGAACAGTTTCTCGTAGGTACTTGAGGGCTATCTACTTTAGCTGGAGAGAGAGAGAGAGAGAGAGAGTATCTTAGAGAGAGTAAAGGTCTTCTTAGAACAGATAACTTAGTCTTTAGTAAAGCTTGGTAATCTTCAGCAGAGATGCCGTGCTGGCGTTCTGCAGGCAGGCGAGGAGACAGAGTAAGTGGATCCATGATAGAATGCGCATGCCTCTTGACTGCCTTCTCCTCCAGCCTAATATAAGGCTGAGCTCGTGCCTCTCAACACCACAGGTGTAGAGACTGCCAATTCACCAATGCTCTCATCTCCTGAGCTCTCTCATGCTTGTTAAAACTAAATCTCTCTCCATGGCCTGTTCACCAAGGTGTTCCATTACAGGTATTTCTTATAACTCTCACTCCTCCTAGCCATAGGCTATACGGGCTGCTACACCCCTCCCTCTCCTTTCCCTTTCTGTGCCTGTGTAATCACGTCCTATAGTTTAAATCTTTCCCATTTATGTTTTTATGCCTTTTCTACATATGCATGTATCCATTGATCAGATGTTTTGTTATGAAATGTGGTTTTTTGTCACAAATACATGCAGCATTTTGCCAACTGACACCCCCATCAGCAATGAGCAGATTCCTGTTATTCTCAAATGATATTTGGTATTATCAGAGTTTTTGACTGGCATCAATTATATGGGGTTTCGTTTTTTATTTTCTCCCAATTTACACAGCCCTGACTAATGATTGCTTGAATGTCTTCTCATGTTGGCACATTGGATCTTTTCCTCTGTGGCTTATCTAAGGACCTTTCCCGGAGGTCCTTCTACAAATGTCAGCATGAATCCACTGTATGATGTGATTAACTTAACCATGGTTTATAGAGTTAAAACATAACAAAGCCAGACATTCATGTTTTCTATTAAACATAAAGATATATATATATATTTCTTTTTTTTTTTTTGAGACAGAGTCTTACTCTGTTGCTCCAGGCTAGAGTGCTATGGCATCATCATACCTCACAACAACCTCAACTCCTGGGCTCAAGTGATCTTCTTGTCTCAAACTCCCAAGTAGCTGGGACTACAGGCATGAATCACCATGCCCGGATAATTTTTATATTTTTTAATAGAGACGGGGTCTCTTGTTTGGGCTTGTCTCAAACTCCTGGGCTTAAGCAATACACCTGGTTCGGCCTCCCAGAGTGCTAGGATTACAGGTGTGAGCCACTGCACCCAGACTCTCAGGAAAGACATTAATCACTTTTACCTGCTCTTTGATTATAACATACAAAGCACATGGAGCACCCTAAGTCCAAGTTAAACAGTCCTGCCTACTTCCTGGCCCTTGCACCCTCTAGTAACTCAGATTAGCTTTATTTTATTTTATTTTCACTTTATTTTATTTTAGATTTCATTTTATATTAGGCTGCTCCTTGAAAGAGAAGTTAGAATGTAAATTCCCCACTTGCACACAGGCCCCTCGTCCCCTCCAAGTGATGAGTAATTGTTCTTTTACTCCGCCCTTCCAATTCTCAGTAGCATAATCTACTTCTCACGTAAAAAATCTGTCACATCTATTTCAATCAAGCCTTCTCTGTCCTTATTCCTGTCTTCATCTTACACACATTCATTCCCCACAAATCTTTGTTGCCCCACTAATCTTTGGGCTTAGAGCTAGAGCTAATGATGTAAGAATGAGAAGCTGAACTTTCATCCAGTCTTTGAGAACTTACCATTTTGGGGAGCAAGACAGGTAGGAAGCAGGCTATCCTGATACAGTGCAGTGGGAGACAGATGAGAACCCCCCCCCAAGTCCAAGTGAGAACAGTGAGCTTGTGAAGGTGGGAAGCTGCCCTTCCAGGCTGAGGGAGCAGCACAGCTGTTGCCTGGGAAGTGAAAGGGAGCACGGTGCCAGGAACTGGAAGGTCAGCTGAGGGTGAGGGTCTGGAAGGGAACTGACATCATACTGTTCTAATAAGTTTGGATTTTATTCCAGGAACAGTGGAGTGACAGTGAAGTTATAATCAGGAGAGTGTCATGAATAGACTTGTATTTGAGGCAGATCACTCTGTCTACTGTGCAGAAAATGGGTTGAAGAGGCAGGATTGAGACGGGGAGAGGAGTCAGGAGGCTGCTGTGGTCAAGCAGACAGTTGCTGACAGGGACCTAAACTAGGGAGAGGCGGGGCACAGAGTGAAGAGGACAAACTTGAGAAACAGGAGGTGCATCTGGAAGCACCTGGCAACTGAGAGCAAGAAAGAGGGAAGGAGTGGCCAGGGCTAAGTGCCAGGCTTTGAGTCAGGCAATGGGGCAAACTCTGCAATGTCCCAAGAGAGCCGGACAGTGCAGAGACTACAGAGCACAGGGCTAGGTCTCAGTAGGTGTGGGTCCCATCCTTCAGAGGTGCCTCTGGGTGCTCTGTGGACAGGTGCAGCAGAGGTGGTGAGTCAGCAGCACATGATGATGGATTTTGTGCAGAAGATAGGAGAAAGAGAAAAATTAAGAATGCTTTAGTTGGGTGGCTCCTGTGGCTCAAGGACTAGGGCGCTGGCCCCATATGCTGGAGGTGGCGAGTTCAAACCCAGCCCAGGCCAAAAACTGTAACAACGACAACAAAAAAGAATGCTTTAGTTTCTTAGCCTGGATAAGTTGAGATGTGCCATTTAATAAAACTGACAAGGCTGAAGAAAAAGAGAGTCTGAGGAGGAGATTGAAGGATTACTCAAGTATGAGGCTTGGGAAGGACCTTCAGTCATCCAACTCATGATGACAAGTGGGTATTTGGTTAAAGCAGCCTGCAGAAGTTCTGATTGAAGGCATGAATTTGAGATTGGCCAAGTTTCCCATGACACCTAAAGGCAAGGAACTGAATGAGATTACCTGGGAAGTGAGGATAGAGACAGGAGAATCTAGGACCCGACCAGGCCCTGGGGTGCTCCAGCACTTGGTAAAGTTGTGGAGAGGAGGGAGATCCCCAGAGGAGTCAGAACATGAGTCTGAGAACACACAGTGGTGAGTTTGTGTCAGTGGAAAGGTGAGGAGAAGAGCAGGGGAGGGAGTGAAATTGATGCAGGAGGCAGATAACTGCCTCTGTCACAGCCTCCTGAAAAGAAGAAGCCTAGAGAGTGAATTGCAGGGTCCTCGTGGGGGGAGGGGGGCAGGAAAAATGGAAAGAGCAGCAAGAGAGAACTGAGAAGAGCCCGGAAGTACAAAAGAGGCCCAGAGAAAAGGGTGCCTACAGGACACAGAGAAGTAAGCACAGAGGTTGAAGAAAAGTACAGGAACATGGGTTTTAAAAGAAGAGGGGGTATGGAAGAGAGTATGACCAACAGTCCTGAAGCTGTTAAGACGTAAAGTAGATTAAAAGCTCAACTGTGCCCTGTGCATTTAGGTCCAAGGGTGTCACTGGTAACTTTGGCCATAGCAGTTTCAGCGGAATGATGGGAACAGAAATGAGATTCCCTGGCAGGGGAGGAATGGAGGAAATGAGCGCAGGGAACTCTTTGGAAGAATTTGCCTGAGAAGGAAGGAGAAGGGATGAGGCAGAGGGTGTTTTTCTTTTTTAAGACAATAAGACTGAGCATGGATGAATGCTGATGGGAAGAATAAGAGAGAGAAAGAGAACTCAAGACACAAAACAGACCGTGTAAATGAAAGAAGGTCCCTGAGCAGTAAGCATGGACCATGTGGAGAACAAAGCTTTGAATTTTCCTTGTTCAGGAGATGAGACATCTTCTGGAGAAAGTTTGATAGTGGAGGCATATTGAAAGTGTGTGGGTGGCTGGAGATGGAAGGATAAAATTATTAACTAAGATCTGGATTCTCCTTTATTGTGAAACATACTGGGAGTTTAAGGATGGAGGAGGTGGGCTCAGGTCTGCCTGACTTGGACAGTTTCTCAGGTGAATTCTTCTTGCTGTTGGATTAGTCAGCCAGATAGAATCAAAAAGAAATCTTTCAGGAGAAGACCAAGATGGGAGCTCAAATCTGCAAGGAATGAGCAGGATTGGTGAGGGAGAAAATGCACCTGGGCAAATATGGATTAATCAAGGACCGATATTTTACTAACATCTGTACCTGGTGTCACAGTCACTCTAGGGGAAGAGCTTTTCACATAGAAACTAGAGTTCCTAGACTTAGGGATTACAGATAAAATTTCAAGAGGAAACTCTAAAACATTTAGACTGTGGCCATGAACCCAAATCTTCAGCAAACAGGCTCTCTTTCAGATTTCTCAATGCAAATGATGGTTTCTCTTATCATCTTTTAGTGAAAGACACTAATTTCAAACCTGATATCCTGGATCCGGTCAAGGACACACAAGAAGTAGAACTTGGTAAGCTGAGCTTTAACCTTGAAAGAAGATACTATGCTTCAGAAAGCAGGTATAGGTGTGGTGTAAAGAAAAGGACATCAGCCTTTCCAGTCAAACAGAATTGGGTGTGAATCTTAACTCAGATGCTGATTAGTTTTGTGACCTTGTGAATTTACTTAATCCTTCTAAACTTCTGTCATTAAATCTTCAAATAAACATCAAACACTGATTTTACAAAGTTTCATTGAGAAATAATGGGACGTGTATACTAAGTGGCTGATGCATTGGACGTGACCGATAGATTGGAGAATCTTTCTTAACTCTCTCTAGAAGCAGGTGGTTATGTATGGCCCTTGGTCATATCTAGGAATGTACCAACTTAAGTAGCATCAACCCTTACAAATACGATGTTTGGTCTGTCCTTTAAAAGAATTTCGATGGAATACTACAACCCCAGCTCAAACAATTCACATTCCAAAGTAGTGTCTTGTGTTAGACAAAAGAGAAATTGACATCTTTATGGTCTCCTCTCATTTTGCCAATTTCAATAACATCCATATCCTTCCACACAGCCAAATAAGAATTGCTGTGTTTAAAACCAAGTACTGGGTGTTTCGCTCATGTAAGTGCTCTTTTACATGCAAATAAAAGATTTATTTTTGTAGGAATAAATGTAAAAACAGGTATTATGGTATACGATCGCTAGGTGGCAGTAGTGACATATCTTCACTAGGCAACTTCACTAGGGCGGAAGGAAGGAGAAAGGAGGAAAGAATAAATCAATTCGAAACACTCCAGTTTCATATGGAATTTATGAATTTAAGGTATTACTAGTGGAAAAAGAGTAAGGTGCAAAGACAAGTTGTCAAATGGGGTTCCTAACCATTTCATGGTTAGATACAAAGCATGAGGCTGAGCATATCTACATATCCCTCACGGAGAAAATGGGTAGAAAGAAGCTAATCTAATAACACATACACTCATCCAGAGGGAATTGTCAGAAAAGCAGCTGAGTAGCTAAATAATATTTTCTTTAACGTATACGCTACAATAACCTCATGATTTTCATTTAATATGTAAATACTGGTTGGGAAAATGTCTTCTTTTTTTTATTAGATCATAGCAGTGTATGTTAATACTATCATGGGGTACAGTGTACTGTTTCTATATACAATTTGAAATACTTTCATCTAACTGGTTAACATAGCCTTCATGTCTTTTTCTTAGTTATTGTGTTAAGACATTTATATTCTACATTTAGAGAGATTCACATGTACCCTTATAGGATGAACCATAGGCGTCATCCCACCAATCACCCTCCCTCCACCCGTCCTTCCCCCTCCGCTCTCCTCCCTCTCCCCTCTCCCCATATGCCTGGGCTAAAATTGGGTTATAGCTTTCCTATGAAAGCTACTTCTATGGATGCCCTTTGCTCTTCAATAGTAGTTGAAGGTAGAGCTGGTCACTGAAGCTCCCTGTTTTTTGAATGTCTCTATCAGATCACATCAGACCTTCAATAATAGGATCACACTTATCTGCATTTTCAGAACATTCGGTCAGTTACATGGTTGAGATATCGACATAGCCCACTAAAGACAAATGTACCTTTTTTATGTGTTTCTGAATGACAGATGTATAGATGTTTCATTATTTCTGACACAACCAAGCATTTCCCTGACTGTGTCAGGAAATAGTTTTCTGGGCAAATCTCCTCCCTACTGTGGGAACAGGGAAGAAGATAAAATTCTCACCAGGTTCCTTCCTGCTTTCTCTGGCCCCTTCATTTTCAGGAAAGCCTTTAACTATTAGTTGCAGAGTACGATTTGGCTTTGAAAGGGTGCCTAAATATATAATAAGATGGTACGTCAAAGATTCTGAACGCGAGAGGGATGTCTTGGAATGTGAGAACAAAAGGTAAGAAGAAAACTCTCCAATTCTATTTTCTTTAACCCAAAGGAGAAGCTTTGACCTTTGGAAATCTCTGAGTCGCACACACAGAGTTGATGGTGCAGCCACAAGCACCAGTTAATGGTGGAAATAGAAGTGTAGAAATGCAAAGTGAAAAGGGCCATTGAAAGAAATATTTAGGTTGTTTTAAAGCTCAATTTGTATCAACAGTTTGATGTGGCTGCTTTAAAAGTCAAGCTGTGAGGCAGACAGACACACTGACCCAAGCTTGAAGATAAGTAACACATCCGACAAATAGGAAAGAAAGACCCAGCTCCCACGTCACTCCTGCTGTCC